AACCCGGGCCGCACGCATGCCAGGTGAGCGTGCTACTGCTTGAGCCACATCCCCAGCCCCCCTAGTCCTTTTTAATATTTTATTTTGAGACTATGTTGCTCAGGGCCTCTCTAAGTTGCTGAGGCTAGCTTTGAACTTGTGATCCTGCTGCCTCAGCCTCCTGAGCCACTGGGATTACAGGCGTGAGCCACTGCACCCTGCTCTTTTGAGACAACACTTTTGAGACAAGTGCTACCATGTAAATATAATGCATCCATTAAAAAATAAATAGAAGGAAGACAGATAGAACAGAGAAAGGGGATCACAGGGAATCGAGAAGGGAAAGGAAAGGGGGAGGGCTGGGAATTGAAATAGAGAAAATTATGTTATATGCATTTATGGCTGTTGAACCCCACTATTATGCATAACTATAATACACTAAAATTTGGGGGGATTTCACACTTTTTTAAAAACCCATATTTCACTGGATATGGTGGTGTATGCCTATAATCCCAGCAGCTTAGAAGGCTGAGGAAGGAGGATYGCAAGGTCAAAGCCAGCCTTAGCAACTTAGTGAGGCCCTAAGCAACTTAGCAAGACCCTGTCTGCAAATAAAATATATATTTTTTAAAAAGAGCTGGGGATGTGGCTCAGTGCTTAAGTGCCCCTGGGTTCAATCCCCCATGACCCTCCCCCAATCCATATTTCTAGCTTCTTACAAAATCACGGGACTCTGATCCGAGTCACCACAACCTGCTTCATCTGAACAGCAGCTGTCCCCTGTATATAAGGGCATTGACTTTCAGAGCTGCCTAACAAATTKACTCTTAGCTGGCACCTCCACAGGAGTCGTTCTCAAGGAGGGGTAATTCTTCACTTCCTCCCTCCTCCCCAGGAGGATGCTGGACAGTGACTAGAGGCACTGTCACCATTGAGAAGACAAAGTGCCACTGATATGTAGTGAGCCAAGGGCAGACGTGCTACTAAATGTTCTGCAGTATTCAGGGCACCCATAAGGGATTATCTGGTCCAAGACATCAATAGCATCTAAGTTGAGAAACGTCCTACAAAGGTTGCTCTAGATGACCCTGACCTGAACAGAGAGATTGGAGGAATCAGAAATCCACATACCTGGTTACGAGCACAGCTGTATCATGCTGGATTCCACCTGGATAGTTCTTGGAATGTTGCCACTGGCAAAAATTTTTTAATGTTGCCTGGGCATTAAAAGATATGGAAGGTCCTTCCTAAATACAGAGAAGAATTACGGTTGGTCTCTGCTAGCAATACCAATCAGAGATGCCATTTCGGATACAGATAGAAGAAAGAAGAAAAAAAAACGTGATTACCTGTTCATTATGAATCACAACTAAGTTCACAATAACAATATTAATTAAATTTCCAATACTTGGGTCTTTATAGATAGAGGCTACCTGCAACCGAGATAAATTTTTCAAAGTTAATTGTGAACTCTCTGTAAGCAATAAGCAATTCACTTCTTAGGTTGGATTCCATCTTTTTTTTATGTTCCATGACATATACACATTCTGTTGTTCTGAGTTTTCATTCATTCAACATGCATTTATTGAAATCTCTTTGTGAATCCACAGATGGCACTTTTAGATAATAATGAATTCAAACAGGTTTAAATGCCAAATGGTATTTTCTTTTGAAACTGTATTGCTGCCTCACAGTTCTCTGTACCCRAACATTTGGATATTAATTTCCAATTACAGTCTCTCCTCCCATCTGAAGTCCTGGATCGCTAACTTAACAAAATCACAATGGCTAACTTACAAAATTACCTTCGCTAATAACTGCGGTTCTTTATGCTTATCACCCATCTGCATTCTCAAGAACCTGCGAAACCTGCTTTTGTTTTATTTTGCTGTAATTAATTATGAGGGCAAGCATTCACGGAGTGCTTATTATGAACTAGATCCTTGCTGAAAAACTCCATTAGGCGTTTGCATTCAGTCTGCATAGCAAAACTCTGGGCTGGTTACTATGACAATCTCCGTGCAATGGATGAGGAAACCAAGCCTCAGAGAAATTGAATATACAGTGGTGAGTGGCAGAGCCAGAAATCTCAGGCTAGGCCATCTGATCCCAAGCTGTGTGTGTCATCAAGATTCTCATCACATTTCTGAAATTATGGCATAGATATGGACTTGGGGCTGTGGAAGGTTGGTTTTCTTCCTCTGGTCATRAGAGAGCTGGGGCATATGGGACTGAGCAAGGGGAGGGGGTGAGAGAGTGAGGGGTGGCAGGGTTGGGGCAGCATGGRGGAAAGGTCCCCAGCCATAGGGTGGGAAGGAGAAAACCTAATGCAACATTCCCAAACATGTTCTTTCACACTCATCTGTGGAATTTATTAAAAATAGGTTCTGGCCGGGTGCAGTGGCACAGGCCTATAATCCCAGCAGCTCGGGAGGCCAAGGCAGGAGGATTGTGAGTCCAAAGCCAGCCTTAGTAACTTAGTAAGGCCCTAAGCAACTCAGTGAGATCCTGGTCTCTAAATAATATATAAAAAGGGCTGGGGATGTGGCTCAGTGGTTAAGCACACCTGGGCTCAGTCCCCAGTACAAAAAAAAAAAAAAAAGTAGGTTCAGGTAAATTAGGGTTAGTTGAAAAAGGGGAATGTCAAGCTAAGGCTAAAAATGAGCTAGACAGATCTATCTGGGCTGCTATGGAACAATCCCTATTAGTTCAAGATAATAGCAATGTGTTAAACTGCATGAGATGCTCCTTTTTTGTATAAGGTAAAAAAAAAAAAAAAATTTGCTCAGTTGTTTCTCCATATCCAGGGGGGTTGACTCCAGGACTTTCAAGGATACTAAAACCCGAGGATGCTCAGATTCCCTCATATAAAATGGTATAATTTTTGCATCTAACTTCTGCATATCCCCTAAGCTTTAAAAGCAGCTTTAGATGATTTATGGTTTCTTATAATGTTATATGCTATATAAATAGTTGTATTGTTCAGCGTATAATGACAAAAAAAAGTCTGTATGTGTTCAGTACAGTTCAATTAGTTTTCCAAATGTTTTCAATCCACAGATGCTGAATGTACAGCAACAGAGGGGCCAATAGCATATGCACATATTTRCATAAGTCATTAGCTTATATACATATCCAGAGTTAGCCTGCCCAATGTGGTGGCCAAATACCCTATGTGGCTATGGAGCACTTGAAATGTGGCCAGCCCAAATGGAGATGGGCTATGAGCATAAAACAAGTTGGTGTAAAAAACAAAATCAATAAAATCTCACTAGTAATTTTTGAAATGATAATATTTAGATAAGACAAATCATACTATTAATATTAGTCTCACTTCTTTCTCTTCTAAAAATAATGCCTCTTAAAACATGTGAAATTAAATATGTGGCTTTTATTGGGCAAAGGTCAGGGAACTTGCATGGAAAACTTATTTTCTAACAATAGTTTGAGGTTTCATTTGTTTTTTTTTTTCTTTCTACATTTTTTATAAGAGCATTATGATTACACATAGTATTTGGGTTCCTTTTGATGAAATGATATATATAGGGAATGATTTTTTAATCACGCAAATTTAGTGTTTAAATTCAATCCAATTTCAATGGGAAAAGAAAAATAGATTCCCATGCTTCACCCCAGGGCTACTTAATTAGACTACTGAATGTAACAAAAGCTCATGGGTGACTCTGATTCACAGCCAGCAACACCCAGAAGGACTGAAGAAACACACCTGGCTGAGCAAAATTCAGAAATCAGATCATGGGTTTAGGGAAGCAGACAAGATAAAGCCACTTGCAACATCTAAGCCACTTGCTAGATTTACCTGACCGTGGTCAAGTGACCTAACTCCTCTGAGACTCAGTGTGCTTATCTGTGAAATGAGTACATAATTCCAACTAGTGGGATACCAGCAGAGTCAGCAAKTAGGCCTCTAAACTAAGAAGCAAAGTCTCTAACACAGAATAAACACTCCACATCAATAACCGTTGTCATCACCATACAAAGGCAACCAATGAGCCATCTCAGGATCCCTTGGGGGTACTCGCCTGAAATGTTGAAATGCCAGCCCTGAATGACCCTCCAAAGCCCTGGGGGGAACCCATTCCCCCAGGGTGCATTTCGAGAGCTCTTGAATGACCTTCTTCTGTGCATACTTACAATTGACATTAACGTTAGAACATAGTGTTGTAGGTCTGCTCCGTGGTATGATACCATCCTGTGGTCCGCGACCACCATCACCTCTACAAACCGTGGGTAGGATAAGAAACGTTTGTTTCTTCTGTGCGTCCTCCTTTCCCTCATGCTGTCTGTCTTGTTCCCATAGGCAGAAATCGCCTTGGTGGCCAAGCCACCGTTCAACACTGCCAAATCATCAGCCAGGCTAGTGCTCCTCGCTTTACGTTTTCTTGTCCTGGTTTTCCTCCTGTCTTTACTGTGACTGCTTCTGTGCTCTGTAACAAATCGAACAGAGTGCATTACACGACAAGCCACATCTATTCCATAGGAAGAATTTRATTTGAAATGTGGCCATCCCAAATGGAGATGAGCTATGAGCATAAAACAAGTTGGTGTAAAAAGCAAAATCAATAAAATCTCACTAATTTTTGAAATGATAATACTTAGATAAGACGAATTATACAAATCTGGGCATGGAGACACATGCCTTGTAATCCTAGTGGCTTGGGAGGCTGAGGCAGGAGGATCGTGAGTTCAAAGCCAGCCTCAGCAACTTAGTGAGGCCCTAAGCAGCTCAGTGAGACCCTGTCTCTAAATAAAATTCAAAATAGGGCTGGGGATGGGGCTCAGTGGTCGAGTGCCCCTGAGTTCAATCCCTGGTACAAAAAAAAAAAAAAATTAAATTTGAAATGACTTAAAATGCTGCCTCTGGACTCAGATTTGATATAAAACTTGATTGGCCCTATATCGTATTGTCTTACAGAGAGCAGYCTCTATAGGTACAACTCAGTTTGCAATCTCATTTAAATGACTGAGWCTCTGAGATTAGTTTCCCTGGGAAGCTACAATAAATGTACACTTAAGATACTAGAAAACCAGGGGCTGTGGTTGTAGCTCAGTGGTAGAGCGCTCGCCTCGCACATGTGAGACCCTGGGTTTGATCCTCAGCACCACATAAACATAAATAAGTGAAATAAAGGTATTGTGTGCAACTACAACTAAAAATAAATATTTTTTTAAAAAAGATACTAGAAAACCAGGCTYGAGTTTAGGCAAACAACGCRCAAGATTCCTTCCACTGGGTACCAGAAGCCTTGCTGGGATTTGAGAGGTTCTCCCTCAATGTCTTTGCCATAGATATAGTTAGGGCCAAGAACAGAGCTCCAGGGCTCTAAAGAAGGGAAATGGAGATGTTTCATAGATAAATCACTTTTGAAACTCAATGACATGTTAGATAGAAATCTGACAGGTGGGCAGGCCAGGAGGCAGCGCTGAGGAACTATAGAAAATACCTACTGCCGTATTCTATTACCTTTGTAGATCACTGTAAAACTGGAAATAGAAGAACACAGTTGGTGGAATTCAATGCCCCTGAAGTTTTAATTAGTGGGTTCAGGGCTGAGTTAAGGAAGGAGACTAAAGTCCGAGTGCGTGCAGGGGTCTACAACATTAGACCAGCTCCTGCCTGGGCCTCTTGRGTTCCCACAGTCCTGCTGCTCAGAGTGTGGTCTGTGCACCAGGAGTTCAGGCAGTACCTGGAATCAGATGGAAATGGGATTTTTCTGTTCTACCCCAGACCTGAGTCTCCACCTTGCAGGATTCCCCAGTGACTGGTATTCACACTGGTATTCACACTTCTCTTTTGAGAAGACCTATCCAACTTTCACACCACCCACCACACACAGTCCACAGAGTGTAAGCACAGAAGTGCCTGTCTGGACCCACTTTGARTAAAAACAAAATTTCATCAGTTATCTTGCACATCAGTTCACCAATGTGCTTGAGAGCTTTAATGGCACTAGCTTGGAGTCTAGATTAAGCAACAGAATTGTACAAGGAAGAAACACACTTAGGTGGCTAAGACCTAAGGAGCAGAATTTGTTACCCCAATACCAAAATATACAGACAAAAAAGTAAGTGGTTGACTATTTGAAGGGGCCAAATATTTCACCAAGATAACCAATTGCTGAACCGATCATTTGAGTCTRGCACATACACGTTGCTAAATCAAACATAAACACTTGGGCATTTTGGTGATAATGTGAATAGTGAGATCTGTCCAACCTGTCAAATGGATGATGCAGATCCCAAGTATGGACAAAACGACTGGCCTGAAGCTGGATGTGACATTGGTTTTTCTTTCAGTCTCTTTTAAGGATATTTCACATATGTATACCAGTGTCATAGGGCCAATCAGTTGTCATTCAAATTTGAAATCACCAAATGAATATAGAATAGACACTAACTAGGTTTTTGGGGTTTTTTTTTTTTTTTTTTTTTGTACCAGGGATTGAACCCAGGGGCGCTTAACTATTGAGCCACATCCCAGCCCTTTTTATATTTTATTTAGAGACAACAGGATCTCCCTCAGTTGCTCAGGGCCTTGATAAATTGCTGAGGCTGATTCTGAACTCATGATCCTCCTGCATCAGCTTCCTCTTGCCCCTCCACTCCAAGCCATTGGGATTACAGGGTGGGTCACCAGGCCTGGCATCTTCTTTCTTAATACAGGTATTCACAGCTATAAATTTTCCTCTAAACACCACTTTATCAGCATCCCACAAGCTTACGAATTTTGTGTCTTTGTTTTCATTTATCACAATATATTTATCTTAGGACCTAGCAGGTCATCTATTCTGGAGGTTGCTCTGTGTAGACTTCRGAAGAATATACATCTTGCTGTCATTGGATTGGATATATTATAGCTGTCTGCTAGACATACCTGGTGTACAGCCTGTTCAAATTTTCTGCATACATGTTTATAACTACTRTACCTTCCTACTAAACTGACCCTTGCTTGTTTGTTTGTTTTATTTTTGGTATCAGAGGTTGAACCCAGGGGCCCATAACCAAGAGCCACATCCCCAGCTCTTTTTATATTTTATTTAGAGACAGGGTCTCGCTAAGTTACTTAAGACCTCGCTAAGTTGCTGAGGCTGACTTTGAACTTGTAATCCTCCTGCTTCAGCTTCCCAACACACTGGGATTACAGGTGTGCACCACCATGCCTGGTTAAGCTGTTGTTTGTTTTTTTTTTTTAAAGACAATATACCACCAAGTTTGTGAAAATAATAATCCTTAATATCTTAGGTAAATATTTTGGATTAGTCTGTTCTCTGTTGCTATAATAAAATGGTTGAGGCTACATAATGTCTAAAAAAACAAAGTTTGCTAGCTCACAGTTTGTGGGGCTAAAAGTCTGACACTGGACAGCCCATTTGTTTGGCCTTCTATTGCCACAGACTGGCTGGGCACAAAATCACGAGCCACTCAAACAGGAACAAACTTTATTTTGAAACTCCCACCAATGCCCTGTATGCTCCCGGCCGACACACACACACACACACAAACACACACACGCGCAGCATTCTCCCAGACACACACATCAACAAGAAATCCCTCCTCTGGAATTCCCTCCTACTGCACTTCCCCGACCAATGGGAACTCTCCAGGAGTCCCTTAGCAGGCCCAGGTGGACAGCAGGGGTCTAATATCCATTTGAATGCAGATCTTAACATAATCATATCATCTCAATGGCTTGCTGGCATCACCTTTCAACCAAAAATGCCATGCATCATTACTACTTGGCTATGGCTCTTAGCATTTGATGAGGGCCACRTGGCAGATGGCATCATGGCAGAAGCACAGGAGAGAGGTGTCACAGGGTAAGACAGGAAGCCAGAGAGCAGAAAGCGACCAAGCCCACTCTTTTCTGACAACTTACTCTTGTGAAAACCACCTGGGTTTTCATGAGAACTACCTCACTCTGTTCTGAGAGCAGAGCAACCAACCACCTAATCTCTTCTTCCTAGCCCCTACTATTTAAAGGCTCATTGCCYCTTGAACTGCCACATTGGGGACCAAGTCCAAACCACAGCATAGTCTGATTTGACAGATTAGATTGATTCAGAATAGGTACACTTTTAGTGGGAAAGACACTTGGGAAAATATTGCATATAATTCATTTTTTTTGGGGGGGGGCGGGTTCCAGGAATTGAACCTAAGGGCACTTGACCACTGAGCCACATCCCCAGCCCTTTTTTAGACTTTATTTAGACACAGGGTCTCACTGAGTCCCTTAGTGCCTCACTAGGTTGTTGAGGCTGGCTTTGAACTTGTGATCCTCCTGCCTCAGCCTCCTGAGCCGCTGGGATTATAGGTGTGCACCACTGCACCTGGCAGAAGCAACATCTTCCAGTACATAATACTCCCCAGTCTTTTATCTAATGGGTTAGAATAATATTTATTGACCTAATTAGCCCAACTAATTTCTAGCACATTAACCATTTTTGCAAGTAATTTTAAATTGAGCATTAGAAATGGCATAAAAATAGCTACTATATCTTAGATACCTACTCAAAGTCCTTTCCCCTGAATAGAATCATAATAACAGAGAATAATTTCCACCATGGGACCACAGACTGTTAGGATAAAAAGAAAGTCATCTACCTTTTTCGTTAGTGACCTTTTAGCAAAATGGAATTGGGCTAATGTTTCAGGAATTTACAAGGTCACTTTGCTAATCRTTTTATAAGACCCGACTAAATAATAAAATTTCACCCTTGTGGAAATCACAGCACGAATGGTCTAGGTATCCTTGTTCGTCTTTGTTTCCCTCTCTACATAGCTTTACTGTCATGATTACTTTTCAGTAACGGTTTCATTAAAATAAAATTCAGAGTGCATTAAATTCACCTTCTCAAAGTATATCCTAATTCAATGTTTTTAGTACATTCCTAGTTGATCACTGCTATTATTTAGTTTTAGAATATTTTCATTGCTCCAGAAAGAAATGCCAGACCTATCAGCAGTCCTGGAGCCCATTCTCCTCCTTCCCCAGMCCTGGCAATGGACAACCTCCATCTTCTAGGATGGACTTATCTGGACAGGTCATTTGTTTAGAGCCTTACAACATATGGCTTTTATGTAGCTTCTTTCTCCTGGGATAATGTTTYCATGGTTCATCCATGCTCTAACATGTATTCCTGTTTCATTACTTTTTATTGCCAAATAGTCTCCTGAATAGAATATATCATGTTATGTGTGTCCATTAGTCAGTTGATGAATATGTGGGATAYTCAATAATCCAACTGGCCAACTGAATAAAGCTGCTATGAATATGTTTGGGAGGGTACTGGGGATTGAACTCA